AAAGAATAAAGCTTACTTAAAATATACTTAATATAAAAATGGTGAAGTAACAGCTCAGGGAAATATAGGGAAAAGATAGCCAGCATAATTCAGCATCAGTATCACAGCACCCACGAGACTCCTTTATGAAAACCTGAAGTCTAGAGCTATAGTATTAAATATGTATAATGATATTTTGTTTAAATACCTTAGTGTACTTAGTGCTTTAAATGTAAAAAGTACTAACAAAAACAATAAAGTATTACCTAGGAGAAGTTAATTTTTTTTTTAATTTAAGATGTTTTACAAGAAAAAAATGACAGTTTAAGCATATATGCACAGAGGAAAACCCTTAAGAATATAACAAGCACTTACATTTTAAAGCTTTGCTAGGTAGGACTTGATCCATTTAGAGCAGTGGTTCTCAACCTTTCTAACGCCGCGACCCTTTAATACAGTTCCTCATGTTGTGGTGACCCCCAACCATAAAATTATTTTTGTTGCTACTTCATAACTGTAATTTTGCTACTGTTATGAATCGTAATGTAAATATCTGATATGCAGGATGTATTTTCATTGTTACAAATTGAACATAATTAAAGCATAGTGATTAATCACAAAACAATATGTAATTATATATGTGTTTTCCGATGGTCTTAGGCGACCCCTGTGAAAGGGTCATTCGACGCCCCCCCCCCCCCAAAAGGGGTCTCGACCCACAGGTTGAGAACCGCTGATTTAGAGCAATTGTTAGAAGCTAAAGCCTTACTATTCCCCACATTCTAAAATATAAGCCTGGCACATAATATCCTGTGGTCGGCAGGCATGTCGGATCATGGATCTTAAAGGCAGGAAGGATCCTCAAGAGTTCAGGTGGTCCGACTCCCTTCATACAGGAGGCACATTAGTATCCTCAACTTGAGTTTAGGTGGTTCCTTCAAGGTCACATAATTCATAAGTGGGGAGGCCAGAATCCTAGTCTACTACCTGTTGGTGAAATACTCTTCCCGCTCATGATACCATTCAACTTCTCAAAAACGTACCATGGAGAGAGACAGTGAGGCAAGAGGACAGCTTAGGCTCAAAACCTCAAGAAGCGGTACAAGGACTTTCCAAAGAGTCTGCACTCCATTTAACCTCCTTCAGTCCCAGCATGGCTTCCTTACCTGTTCGGCTAACTTCCTCACTCAGCCTGGCACGGACCCACCCACTTGAATGTCAGCTCCCCAAGGGCTCGTGGCAGGCCCCTCTTCTCCAGCTCAACAGCCCCCCGCCCCCGCGCAGTGTTTGGCCCTGCACCCAACTCCCACCCCTCCGGACAAGTCTAGCTCTCCAGGGCCTCTGGATCCAAGCCGTCGCACTCGTGCCACCCATTGCTCTCCTCTCCACCCTCCTAGCCTGGTCCACGCAAGCCATTCCTCCGCCCCACCATCTCGCCACAGCAATGCCCCCTCCTCGTCCTTCCAGCTCCGTCCCAGCCAAGACTGACCCACGGGCGCCGTACCGCGCGGGTGCCCGTTCCTCACCCGGCGATCACGGTCCCGATGAGGTACAGCAGCAACAGGCAGAAGGTGCCCAGGTTTTGCGGGGCCATGGTTTCTCTGTGCCAGCCTCTATGCCGGCCCCTGTCCAACACACTCCTCGCTGTCTCCGCCGGCGCCGCGTCGGCTCGCCAGCCCACCGGGCCCTGAAAGACCGCCTCACGCCGGGGTCTCGTGCGGGGGCCGAAGCGACGCAAGCTGGCCCCTCTCCGGCCAGTCCACTTCCCGGGAGTCCCGAGTCCGGGGGAGAGAAGCCCCCCAGCAGATGAGAGCCAATCGCTGCTCGGGACATCACACGCGGCCGGCCCCTCGCAGCCAATCAGCGAGGTACACTTCACCTCCGAGGCGGCGCAGGCGGCCAGTTAGGCTTCGGAACCGCAGCCGCAGCTCCTGGCCAATGGGAAGAGGGAACGTCAGAGAGTCGCGCCGCCGCCGGAATCCGCTCAGCCCCGGTTCCTGCGAGTCGTAGAAAACTACGTAAAAGGGCGGTAGAGAGATGAATGCCAAAACAGCGTTTCTAAGGTATAAGGAGTTCCCCCGCCCGCCTCCTCTGACTTTCCACCAATCACGAGTCTTTTCCATCAGCTCCGACCAATGGCGGGAGGGAAGTTTGAGTCGGTGACCAGTCCTGGAATTTCATTCATATGGAACTACTCGCTGGATGCGGGGCGCAGGGACAAGTGCGTTAGGGTCGGGGACAGTCCACTCCAAGCCAATGGTCCTGCGAACGTCTGGTTTAGCAGATCTTATTTTACCTTCTCCTGACAGCCCAGGAGAAAATGGTCCTGGCTTCACTGAGAAGAGGCCGTGGACAAACTGAATTTAGGATTCAACTTCCACCACCATTTAGCGGTGAGAAACCCACGGCCCTTACCCGCCAGTCTGAGCCTAAGCTTGATTATTTACATCTTTTCACCATTTTAATAGGAGAGAATCTTTAAACCGTCTGGCACATAGTAACCAGGCACTCAGTGAATAACTATTATTTGTTATAAGAACTCTGATCCCACCCACCCATACACCCGCCTACTTTTTGCTCCTCTCAGTAAATGCACCACCTAGTTGTTCACCACTTAGTTGCAAGGAAAACTCTGTGTTCCTTAATTCCTGTGTTGCATCCCCTATCCAAATGTTTACCTTTAAACTATAACTCGAATCTCTCCTCTACTTTCCACTACCTCTCTGGGCTAAGTCACATCATCCCTCACCTGGTCAGGGCCTCCTAATTAGTCTCCCTGCCTCCACTCTTAATATTTCTTTTCCCTCCTGTCCACCCCACCGCCATGATTTCTTACAAACATACCAGATCATATCATCCCCTTGCTTAGAGGCCTCAAATCGCTTTTCATTGCACTTAGAATAAAATCCCAACTCTTTATGGTAAATTATAAAACCTTATTATGTCTCAATAATGCTGGAAAAATTTTTTCAAAGAAAACCTATGATGATCTGTGTACCCTCACTCAGTCAGTATACTCCTTACCATGTTCCAGCAAAACTGGTTTCCTTTTTTTTTTTTTTTTTTGAAAACACCAAGCTCATTCCTGCCTAGGGCCTTTGTTCTAGCTGTTTTCTCTGCCTGAAACCCTCTTCCCTAAGATCCTAATATGGGTGACTCCTTTTTAAACACAGATTTCCTTAATATGTATTATCTATTCTCCCTATTAAAATATGCACTCCAAGGAAACAAGGACCTTACCTGTTTTGTTCACTACTATAATCCCAGTGCCTAGCACTATGCCAGACACACAGTGGTGCTCAACAAATAATTGCTGTTGCAGAAAACGAAGGCCTAGAGAGAATCTGCTCAAGGTCACTGAGCTACTAGTGGTGCAGCCTGCTCTTTACTCCTTGACTCAGGCAGAGTTAAGAGAAAGATACGGTTTTGCCTTCAGGAAGATGCCTACTAGGGGAGAAAGGCTACATAAAAGGGGAACTAAATGCATTTTTTTTTTTTACCGTTGTATCTTCCACACTTAGAGAGACCATAAACGAACTACGAAAGTAGAAAATTGCTAAAAATCATGAAATGGAGGTTTAAAAGAAGGAGTGATGTCTACTGCTGGGTGGAATCCAAAACAGCTTCATGAAGACCTGGGTTTGTATCTTGGCTGGAGTCTTGTGTGACCTTAGGGGTGTATTACTGTCACTCCTCTACTCCCTAGTTTTCTCGTCAATAAAATAAATGTACTTAACCCAAAGGGTTCTTGGGGAAACCGAGATAATACCCATAAAGGTGCTTTACACAGTGTCCATAGAGTAAGCACTCTGACATGTAAACTGTCATGATCGTTGTTATTATTACTGATCAGAGCGTGCTGACTTTTCCAGCAGCTGTTGCCTGCCCACAGTTCTGTGGGGCAACAGAGAACGTCCTAGTCCCCTGAGTGGAAAGGCTCGATAACAGAAAGCGACCGGGGGTATGGCTCCGGGGCGCAGAATCCAGAGAGCTTACTAGCCTCCGCCAAATTTTCCTGACCTCTGAGCAGCGGTCGGCCGCTCTAGCAATACGGTCCTCCGCTTCTCGGTGGTGAGAGGCCTCGCGCTTGCGCGGTGTGCGCGGCGGCGGGCGAGGGGAGGGCCGGTCGGCCGGCGGGCGCGGCGGCGCAGGGAGGTGCGGCGGAGCGGAGCCCGCCTGTGCAGGTAACGGCGCGTGGATCGGCGCCCGGGAGGGAACGGGGGTCTGTTATGCTTCAGGCCCCAATTGGGGAGGCTGCCTTCGCGAATCAGCAGGTCTCGGTCGGCACGGACCCGGGTCAGCGGGGTCTTCTCTGTCCTGAAGTGTGGTTGGAGCGCTCGGGCGGCCCACGCAGCGTCCAGGCCCGGACGGCGTCGGAGTTGACGGCGAAGCCCCCGGAGGACCGCCGGGGCCACCCTCTGATCTCGCCACCTGAAAAGCCCTAATCCCCGCGCGCTCGGGGGTAGTTTTTGGAGGCGGGAAGAGCCCAGTTTTATGTTTGTC